CTGTAAACTCTGAAGGTGCCACCTCTCACCTAAACCAAACAAAATTATTAAATCACAATTCTGTAAAACTCCTTAACCTGCAGGATACATCCACCCTATATAACCCCACCCTTTTGACCCGATAGGCTCATTTCCCTCCAAATCCAAATGAAAACAAAGGGGGTTATTTGCTTAATATTTATCAAAAGAATATGTCAAGACTGCTTGAATGCCCTTTAATCATCTTACATGTGATGCAGTGGACAACACATTTGCCTGACATGTGAAAGACCATTTGTTTGGAGACTGGCAGAAACCTAGCCTCAGGTGGTCACGAGCTAGCGTGCTGCTAGTGCCTGTCCCAAGATCAGATAAATGGGAGGTTTGTGTGAGGAAGGGCATGTGGCATAAACTCTGTGCCAAATCAAACATGGCAACCCACTGGGAAGTAAAGGAACAACTCAAAGTACCTTCTGATAATAGCTAAGGACAGTGAAATTCCCAAGGTGGTGGATACCTCAGTGATGTGAGATAAAGTCATGCCAACTTAAATCATTAAAACTTAAATAACATTCAACGATTAACTTTGAACTTTTTTACCACTGACATTTTAATAGAATTTGTAACTTTTTTCTTTTTCTTCTTTTATTAGCTGCTATTACCTGTGATGAACTGGGGATCTTTCTTGGGTGTATTCTCCCTCTCCCCCTATAACATTTGAGCTAAGTCTTAATCACACTCTGACTCTGATAAATGGTTTAGAAGATACATGCATGGATGCTTGAATGTGCACATCACATCATATTCAGAAGCTTAACCAGCTTCGGTCTGTTTTTTCAGGGGTACTTACTGGAGTGAGAACAAATCTGTTGTAGACCTTGCAATCGCCTGTCCATATCTGACCAATGTCCTGCTCTTTGCTGCATCTAAAGCCTCGGTCAAACAGACCTAGAAGTCAGTCGGGGAGTACCCTGGCAAACCAAAATCCTTGCGACCTCCAGCAAACACTAGACCAACTGAAATTAAAAAATTTTATTCGTTTGTGGTTAGCGTCGGTGAATACAGCTTTTTTCCTAGCAACTTGTGGTTGTCAGGGGTTTCCAAGTGGTTTCTAGGCCTGTGTGACTGTGGTTGCCCCTGTGTGAATGGGGCTGCCCCTGGGACTTGTGCAGTGTGGGGTACTGTCTGAATCTAATTTACATGTTTGGATTTTATATATGAAAAATCCAGATGTGCAAATCACTCATCTTTTGACATGACTGAGGCAAATCTGCCCAGACTTAAACGCGAGGCATTGCTGGTTGTGGTTGCCAGGGGTCACCAAACAGTCTCTGGGCCTGAGAAAGAAAGTGATGGTTTCCTTTTTCTTTTTAATTTTTCAAAAATCCTTATTCTGTCCTTTGCAGTTTTCCAGCTGCGTAAATATAGCTGTTGACTGTGTTAAACAACCTTCACAGATTTTAATATTTATCAGTTAATAGATCACAACGCCATGTATACCTTTTTTTTTTATCTGGTGTCTTATCTCATCACCAAAGGTTCGGTGAAATACATCCCAGTCCACTGAATGGTGTACTAGTACCACAAATACCAAATTACTGGGCTTCATGAGTGGATGAGAGCTCCTGACAATATAAAGTGTATATTATGCAGTCATAGTTGTCTATGTACATGAAATTATTTACTATTGTGCTAATTTCACATTGATATACAGTTGTACTAAAAGCTTAAAGATTATTATAGGAATGTTTATTATTGGCTATTGACCGGATAAACTAATCTTTCAATCAGAATCAATCTGGATGAATCAGTCTTGTAACTCACAAAGCAAGCTTTTCCACTAATTTTTAGATCACTCAAAATGATCTAACACACCCAGATATTTATTGGCCAAGAAAACGTGATACAATCAGCCATGCCAGATCCTTCTGAGTCCCCATACAAATGGAAATTATAGGTGTGGAAACTGTTCCCAGTGCCATACTAGTAAAACCACATTGTTTTTTTCATCCACCTACCGGTAAATATTTTCAGACTATAAGTGTGATTACAAATTTATGAAAGTGGCAAATGCGATTTGCCACTTTCATAAGTATTATGCGATAGCAGCCCATTTTAATAATATGTAACATGATATAGCATCTTTTTACAATTTTGTGGCATTGAGCATGTGCCAGCACCCCCTGGGGATTTATTATTGAAGAGAAAAGAATTTGCAGAACTTGTACTCAATGCAGTTTCTTCATAATTTTTTTTAAATTATATTTGTTTTGAGATGTGATTTGTTAATATTGGGATGTTGGTATTTTTAAAAAAATATACATCACTGATTTGTCCAAAGTATGAATATTTGTTGTAAACTGGTTTTATAATTGAGGTCATTTATGAATTTAAGTGACAATTTCAGAATAGGAGACATGGATGGTCCAGTTTTCGGATCAGGTGGTGATGTTAAATGTTATTTGGCTTTTTGAAGATTGTGTTGAAGTTTCGAGTGGACTCATTCATTACCTGATTGATAGTATGTAGTGTGAGATGTCTAGCCAGGAAACTGTTTTTTTTTTGTACGTGACGAAGGTCACACAGACTGAAATGTTGTAAGTCAATAAAAAATGATGATAAGCTGGACAGTGTGTGGAGGTTATATATTGTTCCACCCAATTATTTCTTACAATTTCAGCATTTCTTTATCATGTAGAAAAAATATGATGTACAGTTGTAATTGCACTTCTTTTTTATTATATTTTAATATCTCAGATATTAAATGTAAAGAAATATAAGCTAAAATTTCTGTTTTCCTAAGGTACGCGTCTTCCAACCCTCTGACACTTTGGTCAGACAGTGTTCTCACACTTTCTTTTCTTTTTTTTTTTTTTTCTGTTCTCACACTCTCTGTTCTCACACTTTCTCAGGATTTGGGAGTTTTATGCTGACCTGAGGCTGTTTTCCCAGAGAGTTTGTTAAGTATAAAAGCTGCTGTCAACTCAGGTTCACTGCAAAAATGTTGGTTTAGTTTTGAATAAAAGTGAAAGGCACCCTGTTTTTGTGTGTCTGTGTGTGTGTGTTTAAGACTACACATTAATAAATGTTACAGCTGTTTATCGCTTCAGTGTTTTTCCTAATCTTCCTAATTCCTAAATTTATTATCAGCTTTTTTGATTAAGAAGAAAAAAACTAAAGTCCATCTTCTACACACTGACATCCTTCCCCAATTTTTGCAAAGAGAAACCTGGTAAATCCCACACATAGCATCAAAACTCTCAACTTTTCCCTTGTACTTCTCGCACCACCCACCTGGTTAGATGACAGCGGGGAGGCGAAGTAGTGGCTATGCAGGTTACGTCCTGTGTTGACATGAGTGAGGCGAATCGTCTGCCCACACTTAACTGGGGTACCTCTGTGGCACAAGGCATCACTGGTCCCGCGAACACTCCAATAGCTGTTGCTGTCTTCTACTGCAGAAACCCCTGTTACAGACTGCTGTCCACTACCTGCCTCAGAGACACAGTCAGCAGAGGATTGTTAAAGATATTACAGACAGTTCAAATAAAAAAATCAAATTTCATCTAGTATAGAAGATTGTGATTTAAAACCAGTCCTCTTTATAACTTATGAGCTTTGTGTATGTGATGAAGGTTAGGTTTGCTTTATTGGTCGGTTTTTGGCAAACAGCAATTCCATATGCTGGTGTGCAACTACAAGTCAGTGTGGTGAAACAATGTTATACCTGGAGTTTTCTGAGTATACAGTAACATTTCTTGTTATTTCCACTGGTGTATGCATTATTGCATACACCAGTGCCAAATGCTGATATTAGGATTAAAACATGCATGTACTCTAATAGGAAACAGTAGAGGTGGAGGTATTCACTGGAGACAAAAGGAATGAAACGTCACGAATATCAGGGGTGATTTGTGACAGAAGGATCGCGGCAAGTGTGAGAAGGAAAGGTTTGCAAGATGGCAGTGAGACCTGGTGTGATGTATGGTTTGAAGACAGTGACACTGACAAAAACACAGGGTGCTGAGCTGGAGGTGGCAGAGTGGAAGATGCTTTGATTTTTGTTGGGAGTGACCAGAATGGACAGGATTAGAAATTAATATATTAGAGGGAGATGTGAGGTCAAGCAGTTTAGAGACAAAGTTAGAGAGACAAGGCTGAGGACATGCAGAGTTTCTTACAGAGGAAAAAAGAGTGACATGGTGGCAGATGATCTGCTGTGACGACCCCTACCCAAAGCTCATGGCTGCTGGTGAGGGTAGGGGTGAAGATTCACTGGTAAATCAACAGGTTTGCTTTTACACTCAGCTCTCATTTCATTACAATGGACTGGTACCACAGGTGCCAATCTTCAGCAATCTCCCCCCTCACTTATAAACAAGACCCGAAGATACTTGAACATCTCCACTTCCTGACCAGGAGTGTGCCTTCCAACCTTTTCAAGCTGAGGATTAAGGCCTCAGACTCAGAGGTGCTGATTCTCATTGCAAGGGCACCAGCTTATTGATTATTGTTGTATCATGATACCATCCATCTTCTTGGAAACATATCATGATAGTATTTTACTGTGTATAGGTGTCATTTGCATCTGTACTCGGAGTTTATGGGGTTGTTATAACTCATACATACCTCTAAACCTCTATCGCTGACTAGTACTTGCACATATTTAACACCACCCTGGGTTCTTGCTCTGTCAGCTAGTACAGATGGAAAGAACCAGTGTAAACACAGTTTATGCTGCTGACTTAGAGGGGCTGCATTTTGTGTTGGAGATGTGATTTCACCTTCGCTTCTTCTGTCTGTCAATAAAAGACCACAAAGAAACAGAAACAGTCGTAACTGTGTTCTAACTGTGGTTGTGCACATAAACGTTTTTATTTGTCTCTCCAGCAAACCTTAGAAATTGAGCTGACCTCCTAAAACGTGTCACATTTAACTGCAAACATGATGGAGTTAAGTTGAACATTATGACAAACTCACACTGACACAGTTAATGGATGAACATTAAAAAGTCAGAATTGTATTTTTATCCAACAATGCAAACTTAGTTATGAAGGAAAATAACTGTAGTTATTGTTAGCTGAAAAACACGAGTGTTTATGAATGAAAAGATTAGTTTTGACAGCAAACTTACCGGACCCGTAGCGTACGTCGTGCGAGTGTAGTCTCACGTTGTGCTTTAAATTCAACAGTTTAATGACTGATCCGCAGGTCACAAAGCTCAGTTCCGTGCCAAGGGAGAGTCCAAACACACAGGAAAACAACAACAAAATGGCCTGTACAAAGCGTGGCATACTTTCACAGTTTAATTTACCCATTCCTTCTTTGTATAAAAGCCAAGCACATCCAGCCGCTGATGCTTCTCAGAGATTTGCCTTGTTTTTCGCTACGTCATTAAAAACGTACAGTAAGCCAGTGTTGAGCTCAGGAGACAGCGCCTCTAGCGGCTCGGAACGGCAACTGCGCGGTCTTATTTGGTTTTGGGGTTATTTAAGCGTACTATTTGGCATCTCTGTGCTATATTTAAATGATATTTATACTAGGAAAAATACCTTAACGATAGTAAAGGTTGTCATATGGCATGGTGTCATTTTAGTTGTTTATGTGTGTATAGAATCGAGGTAAACCGCAGGGGGTGTTACCTTGCATCGGAAGAGGTTGGAAGTTCCCTTACTGCATCCCGGAATTGTCATCACGCCGCTCGTTCTCGGCCATTTTTACAAGTGCAAGCTCCGAAATATAACATACAATACAACTCAGTTGTTACCGTTAATATATTCGGAGTACGCTACCCCACTGAGACGTGTAAGTCAGTTTCTTTTAGCGTGATTATGTGCTATGTCTTCACTGCGATGTCTTCTTTTTCAAGTAGTTAGTACTAATGCTGATGGCTGTTGTTGTCTTCTCAGCTAATGCCAGGCTAACACATCGACATGCTAAAGCGTTAACTAGCCAACGTTAAACTGCGAAGTTGGTTTGGAGGCCTTGGTTAATTTATGCAATGGTGATTTTACTTTAGGTACAGCAGCCTTTTATTGCCAACACGTTTCAAAGCAACAACGTGCCACCGTTGTACTAGCTGCAATGTTCCTTTCTAGTTTATTAGCATTGCTAATTGTCGTTTAGCCTCGTTCGTTGCTAGCGAAGACGTTAGCTTTAGCTACCGTTTTTAACAAAAAAATGTTTATACAACAACCTTTTACTCCTTTAACTTGAAGATTTCACCCGGATAACTCACTCTACCGTTATATTTAAAGCAAGTATGCTGTTTGTACGGTAATCACGACCAGTGTTTTGTATGTATGCGTGTGTGTGTACGCATTGCGACATGACTAGGTGAAGTCATTGTTAAAGCCCTCTTGTTAAGTCTTTCTGGCATTATAACAGTGCTAGAGAATGAAGCTCTCAAAAGGCATTGTTTTCAGATGTAATCTTTCGCTTTATTGTGAAAGTCTGAAGCTAAACCCTCATTTCTTTATACTTTACATAGCTCAGCATGGTGTGTAGTATATTCATAAATGTCCTCAAGAAATAAGAAGAAAAATCATCAAACACCTGACACAGGATATGAGAAATGCATCAGGATGGATCAGGATGCCAAAGCATCATCAAAAATTGTCTCAGTAGAATGCTGAAGTACATAAGACTGGACTAAAAATCAGTGACGGTAGGGATTATGATGTGATCAATCAAAAATAGATTTTTTGGTTCAAATTAATATATATAAAGATATCTAGATAAATGGAGGAGGTCAGGGGCACAACAGCGAGTCTCTACAGCCATCTATAAAACACAGTGTGTCAGGGTTTGGGGTTACATTTCAGCCAGTGTTGTTGGGGATCTTGTCAAAATGGATGGAAATATGAATACAGAAAAGTAATGCCAGATTAGCTGAAACATCAGCTAAATCATCAGAAAAGCATGTGATTTTAAATTTTTCAGAATGACAATGATTTCAAAGCACACTGCCAATTCAGTAAAAACATACCTGGATAGAAAAATACACAGTGGAACTCTGTCATGCCAAGTTTAGAGAGGTGGCCTTTGTGAAGCCTACGACATAACCCGCATAAGCGTCTGACGTTGTTGCCCACATTTATGCTTGTCTGTAGTTACATGTTAATTAACGTGTAGTCGTATCCCAGTGTTTCATATGTGGTGCAGGCCTGTAGAAAAAAAATAAAATACTGGGACTTGTTTTTTACCTTCTGGGTCCCCACTCTTTGTTGTGGTCTTTTTTTCTTCAAACATACACATATGTGTCTCAGGATTTTCTACTTCGTATATTCCATCACGTCCATGTAGGTAGTTTTAGCAATCTCCCTCCAGAAATCTGTTGACATTTGTGAGACCTTATATATATATATATATACTGATTTTTATTCTTTATACTGTGGCAATTATTGTTATTTCTTTTACTGGTAATCTTTTTTTAAAAGTGCAGCAAAAATGTAGCCGGAATTGAAGATGCTGAACTGACAATCATAATAGCTGCTGGCTGCATCAAACTCGACGTGTAGTAACATTTTTCGGGGGGTTAGATTATGTGGAATATTATAGCATAGGGTTAAAAGAGGTTTCTGTAGATTTCAGATTTCAGCCGGAAATCTATGTTATAACTATGTGAAAAACCCCTCTTAACCTGCATTGCAGCCTTCCGTGCCCGTGATAATTGCGGGCTGCATCAAGCTGACATGTAGCTACATTTCTTGGAAGGTGAAAGTCAGGTTACCTGGAAGGTTATGGCGTAGGGTTAAAAGGCATTTCCAGTTATGTTTTAAGTAACAATGCAGATTCCCCACTGAAGCAACATTCAGGCAACAGTCATAGATTGGCATCCCCAGAGCCTGGACCTCAACGTTATTGAAGCAATGTGTGAGCATCGTGACAGACAACAGAACAAAAGGAAGCCAATATGCAAATAAAAGTTTTGAATGTCCATCAGAAAGCCTGGAAAACTATTCCTTAAAGAAATTTCAAGAAAGCCTGGGTAAGAGAGTCCAGGCTGTGTTGAAGAATAAAGGTGGTCATATCAAATATTTCCATGTGTGTTTACATTTCTCTCAATAAATCACTGCAACACTTTTTTAGCAGAATACGAAGAAATGAGAAAGAAAGTAAAGAATCAAAATTCCTGCACAGCACTATTATACATTATTATCAAATTGTTAACATATTAATCACAAAGTCATTAATAATCAGTAATAACCTGATGAATAATCTATATGTAATACAAGAGACATTATAACATCTTTGGTAATACATTGAGATATGTAAAAAAAAATGTAATAGTTTAAAGGGACATTAAGCAATCTTTATATTAAGGATTACATTTCTTATTCTAGCACAATGTTATCCAGTATAGTGTAAGATTTGTGTGTATTTGGCTTTTGTCAGGAGAATTTTGGGAGAACCCAATATTGCCTGATTGATGACATTTTTATTAACAGCATTTTAAACCCTTTCTCAGGAACAGCAGTCATGTCGGACTTTATTGAAAGTGAGGCAGAAGAGTCAGAGGAGGAGTTTGAGGAGAAGGACTTAAAACCTAAGAAGAACCAGAGATTTTTGGAAGAGGATGGTAAGATCTGATTTCTTTAACTTTGGGAATGTGTGTTGAAGTTGTATGGCATGTGGACCCCTCATCTGTCATTTCTCAGCAGATGAAGAGGAAGAAGACGATAACCCAGAAGACCAGGATGAGAAAGGGAATTTACGTGGCTTCATTGATGATGGAGACGAGGTAGAAGAGGAGGAAGAAGCAGAAAAAAGTGGAAGTGGAGGGGGGAGTGATTCAGAGGAGGAAGTGAGGCGTCGACATAAAAAAAAGCGCAGTAAGTTCACCTGGTGTTTTTAAAAAATTATTAAACCCATGTGATTAATTACATATATCTATTTAACCTGTCCAGTCAATAGAGTGAAAACACTCATGCCCCATTATTATGCCATATCACACCATATTAGTGAGTGGAAGATGATCTTGGTTACTTCAGTCTTGCAGCCATGTTGGTACCCTACTAAGCAGCAATTTCGAATCCTATAAGTAATGCATTGAAGGAGAACCATAAGGCCACAGTATACCCACCGCTTTGGTCACTCTGCACTCTGCTGAGAAGGTCATGACACAATCTATGTTCGCCATTATAGCGCAGGTAGCAGCTGCAGTATTCTCCTGAATAATAGGTGGTGCCACTCAGGCAACACCTATTATTCAGGAGACCATGTAAAGGAGAATTAAAGGCAGTGCCTGTTTTTCCAGAAAATCTGTCTTTTTAAGCAGTTGCAACAACTCTCAGCTTCTGTACTGATACATCATTAAAAAATTGCAAAACTGACATGATCAGGTGTGACAATGTGTCCCCAACCCAGCAGCGGCGGCACTATGCATCAGGTTACAAAAAT